TTTTTGAAATGAACAGTATTATTATTATGATCAGGTAATACCGTCATTCCCTCTTAATGTCTCGAAGCGTCGATGAGAGAATCCGACCGGCACAACTTTTTAGGTTAAGAATATTAATATATTCAAGATGAGATCAGACAACTCTGAAGAAACTGTTGTGTAGTGAAACAGGTGATGCGGTTTCGTAAACTGTTTATAATGGATTTGCATTTGGAATCGGCTAATTTCATCTGGTTTTCAATATAAAATCTGTTGCAGGAGTTTATGAGGAACCGCCACAAGCGTCATCTCCTCTATCAGCCGCATTTTTCACTTCGACCATGTCCAGCTCGGCAGCAGTGGAAGAGGCCTTAGAAGAGGTGCTTCCTGGAGAAACCCTCTATCCCCTCACCAACTCCCCCTCTCCTCAGTCCCCCCTCGGGTTAACGCCAGTCCCGTCTCCCATCTCCAGCATAGTCAGCACCTCAGTTCCATCTCCTCATCCTTCAACGACTTATTCCCCGTCACCGAATACTTCCACATACTCAATGTCCAGCAGCTGGTGCAACGGGGTGATGCTTCCAAACTCCGACGACCCTTTGCTCTCCAGCAGCCCCAAAGATTTTGTTCCGAGAAAAAAGATCGAAATAAACGGAATGCCCCTCAGACTGATCAGCAACAACGGTCTGATAGAGTTGAACAGCGCGAACTTCGCGGGCATCTTGGTCGATGCCAATGGAGAAATCAAGCTAATCCAAACTGGCGGAAACAATTTTCAATCGAAGAATTTTCTGTTGGCTAACACCACGCAGATAATCACCCAAGACAACAGTGACGACAAGAGTAAAGTACAAAAGGTGATAAAAACTGTACAATGCACAATTCCAACGAAACATATTATTAACAGGCCTAAGCAAGTTACCGAAATCAAAAAAGAAGAGAGCAACGATGTTTTTCTTAGTCCTACTTCGTAAGTATCGAGTGGAATATTGTTTGAGATTTAAATAGTATAGTCCAGGAGTATACTATCAAGCATACGAAATAATTTAATATTTTGTGTGAATATTGTTACAGTGATATTCGAGATTTATTTCTTTTTCATATCATAACATTTTCAAAAAATATGTTACTTTTTTCATTTTGAAAATTTTTGGAGTGAATTTACAATATAATTTATTTCTCCTGTTTGTCATAAAATTCTTCACAAAGGAAGTCAAACGATTGTTTTCATCAAACTTGACAATTCACAGAAAATATAGTGAGATAGATAGTTTATTTAAACAATGCTCTCTGTTTATTTCTCTTTTGTTTATTTAAACAATGCTGCAGATATTCTTTCATTGTTTTTAAATTTTTTCACTTTTGAAATTTTCGACCACTATCACAGTCTATCTTATCGTGATTTTTTCAATTGATATTGAAGCAGCGACTGCAATGAATGTTAATGACAACTTGGATCATATAAACTTTTTGTAGGAAAAAACACAAAGATGTACAGCTTGGATTTTCTCGGGCTCTTCAGTAATTGTTTTGCATTATAAAAATATCTGTTTCAAATTTCAACCTTTTACATATTTCATAAGTAGGAAAAATCTAATGGTCCTGGATTAGTTATAAAATTATATTACGGTTAACCTTTTGTAATTAATTATTTGATTACTATACGGACAAAACAACTAAAACGATATTCATGGTTAACTAGTTTAATGATCCAATCATTTTTCTGAAAAAAGGTTGGTTGGCTAACAGGATCTTTTTTTTTCTTAAAAAAAACATTGTTTTCTTGCCGACGTTTCGAAGTTGATTAAATTCTTCTTCAGGGCTGTGTAACAATGAATTTTCATAAACATACCTCCCACAAAACATATACGATTATTATCATTTCAATTCTACATAACCTACAGTTAAATTTCGTGTCATTATCAATTTGGGTATTTCCAAAAAAGTAGACGCTTCGAAAAAGCAACAGAAGAATCGTGATCAACTTCTAACACCTAAATTACAAAACAGTTGACAATAAATATCTTCAACATTACTGATCTCTTCGACGAGCGTGGTAGGTGTAAATACTTTTCAATGCCTAAATTGACGAGAAAATATACGACAATATCACTACGAATTTTCCAAGATGCCATTTGGGCTCAACAATGCTCCAGCCACGATTTCAACTGTGATCGATAACATTTTGTATAACAGATCAAGGATTATAAATATATTCAATCGATATTTTTATATCTTTCACACCTCAATACTTCAACACCTGAAAAACATATTTTAGAGGCCCATAGGATCGAATTTCAAAATCTAATTGGATAAATCAGAGTTACTTAAGTGACCCTGACACTGACAAAAATATCTTTTCAAATTTTTGGGAAAAATATTGATCTGATTTTCTATACAAATTATTGAATAGAGACTACACAAAAATGTTTCACAATTTCCAGTCCCAAAAATAATTTTCAAGAAAAAATGATTGATGCGATTTTCAGTTGAGAAGATGAAAAAAAAATGTTTGATGAACTTGGCCTTTGAGAAGCCATGGTAAATGTATCTCAAAATACTACATTATGAGGTTTAAACAGTTTACAACGGATTTTTTACAGATATAAAATTCTTGGAATAGTTTACAAAATAGCAACTCCTTTTTTCATTCAGTGCTTGAAATCTGATCAACCAAATGGCGATTATGTAACATGCAACTTAAATATATTCATTCAGTTAAATAGAGTTGACTTTAGTGTCAGTTAAACAATGTAATTGAAATGATAATTCATTCTTTAAATTATTTTTGTCATTGAAAAGCTTGGCATTTCTAATTTTGATCATAATATTTTGTGAAAGCTATAATGAAATAATTCACAGATAATTCAGTATTACACACATCCCATGCAGATGTTTATCACTGAGATTGATAATGTTTTCATGTGTGAGACGAGTATGGCTCAGTCGTAATTCTATCAGGATAGCCTCCTCTCTGCGACTTTTAAATATCAATTCATGTTACATGAATTGATATTTAAAAGTCTGCCACTCCTGAATTTGTTTTGGATGCATCACTGTAGATTTGGTGGCAGTTCTCAGAATTTTTCAATGTGCGTTAAAATTATGTCGGAAATGGGGAGATGCATGGCCCAGCGTGGTGATGTATTCAAGTTGGGATTGTTTGGATTTTCATCGGATTTAACTTTATTAATAAATTTCGATATATCGATATAACATACGGGTATTTCTTCATCTTTTGTTTTACATCTTCAACCTTCTAGGATTTAAGGTTTTCTCTATCGATTACCCCAACTCTGTTCACAAAGCATGAGTTGTTCCCAGTGTCGAGTGAAAGAGATGTTAATATATTTAACATTTCTCTGTGATTTCAGGATACCTGCTAGTCCAGTAAGGGTTTCGAGGAAAAGACCTAGAACAGAACCCCTACAGCTACCTGTACTACACCAGTCAAAATTGAGGGCAACTAGGAGTAAACCGCAGGGTTCTGCTCCTTATACACCTCAACCTATACTCAATCCTCAGAGGCCTGGAACAGGCCTTTACTCTAATTTGAAGAGTAAAAGTAAGTTTTCCTATAGTAATTCAAATTGAATGTGATAGCCAAATATACAGGGTCTAACTAAATAAGTGTGAAACATAAGTACGAACACCACAACTTGATTGAATAACAACCTACTACCAGTACTAGAAAGATTGCTTTCCAGCTAAATGTTAATCATATGACGGTATTTCGAATTTTAAAGGAACAACTCTTATACTCTTACCATCTGCAACGAGTACAGGCACTGTTACCGCGAGACTTTCAGAACCGTCTTGAATTCTGCAATTGGATGCTGGAAATGATTAGAAGAAATTGTGACTTTCTGAAGACGATAGAATTCACAGACGAATGTAGTTTTTCTCGGGACAAAATTATTAATTTTCATAATTACCACATATGGGCTGATGAAAACCCTCACGCTATTGTCGAAACTAACCATCAAGAACAGTTTTCTCTTAACGTGTGGCTCGGAGTTATTGGGGATGATTTAATTGGGCCTCATTTTCTACCTCCTCGATTAAATGGTGAGGCATATGTTAAATTTTTAAGAGAAGTGCATCCAGTACTACTGGAGGAAGTTCCTTTGGGCGTCAGAAGGGAAATGTTTTAATGCATGATGGGGCTCCCGCCCATTTTAGTCAAGTAGCACATCAGCATTTAACTGAAACATATGCAAATCAGTGGATAGGTCGAGGAGGACCACAGAACTGGCCCGCTCGATCCCCGGATCTCAATCCTCTCGATTTCTCTATTTAGGGCCATTTACAGCATTTGAGTTATCGTACTCCTGTTCGCGATGTAGAGGACTTAAGAAACCGCATCATCTATGCGTGCAGGGTAATCAGAGAGACTCCAGGAATATTTGAGCGAATACGTGGCTCAATGCGCCGACGTCTAAACGCATACGTAATGTCTGAAGGTAGACATATTGAACATTTACTATGATTTCTACATGTTGTGTGTTTTGTTATTAATAAATTAGTTTTGTTTATTACCCTTCAATCGTTTAATGCAGGTACTAACTACAAAATAACAATAAATCCAGTTCGCATTTATGGCAATGTATATCTGTAGTTGTTCATAAAATAATTTTTTGCTGCGAAATGGTTTATTTTGGGCAAAAAACCCAAGAGAATTTTTTGTTTACAATGAAACAGGCTATCGGAATAAATTTTAAATGGTAAACAAATAATAAGACAAAAAGTTACATTGGAAATAAATTTTATGGGTTGCGTTTTCCACCCCTTACAACCATGGGGTAAACCAAATAAATTACTGGCTAAGTGTCTTTTTGGTAGTACAAAACGTCAGGTTAATTTCAATATTGTAACTTTTTCAGTGCTTGTGAAAAAAAGCACTCGCTAAGTGTATTTTTGGTAGTACAAAACGTCAGGTTAATTTCAATATTGTAACTTTTTCAGTGCTTGTGAAAAAAATTCTTATACAAATTTTATGTACCCCCTTTAAGGGGCTGTATCTCAACAAGAGATGCTCCAATGAAGTTTCTTTATATGAAAGATCCTATCTTTTTTCGATGAGGAATCACCTGCTCAAATGTTTTACACTTATTCAGTTACACCCTGTATATATGATAAGTTTTTTGTGAGTTTTCATCCATTGTGTGGTTACTGCTCCTGCTTCGTGAGATGCAACTGACATTCAGTGATTCTTTTGAGTTTTTATATCTTTTCGCTTCCGTAAAAAAGAGCAGATGATGTTTACTTTGCATGTTATGGTGGACGTCGATCCAAATTTCTATCCATCTGCACAGACATCCCTGTCCTTCCCTACGATACCTCCCTGACAAAAATTGCAGGCTCATGGGCCCATTGCTTATTTCTTCCCATCTTTCCATGAAACCCTGTACTGATTTGTACTAGTAATACTACGACTATATACTAGTTTATAGCATGTTCTTTATATTTTCCTGGACTCAATTTGGGTTGTTGATACATTGATTGTCGCCTGTGATCCAGTTCCTTATATTCACATGAAACATAACGAGGGGTCTCTTTTCCTCTTTTGCACTGCCTGCAGCTAAGGTTCTCTAAATAGACTATGTCTCGTGAGCCGTATAATTATTTTGAGCGTATTTCTTCAAATCTTTTTCAGACGGTTCCTTCATAAATGTTTTCTCGTGTACGTTATATTTTCCTAGTAATCTATGTTTCTCATTGACCCATTTCCTCATCTGGTCCCTTAATACATATTTTGGTACACCACAGCTAGTTCGATGTCTGTGATTTTTGAATAGCAGGCATCCAATATGAAGTCAGTTTTTTCTGTTCTGTCAGTTTACTAAGTTCTTCACGAAATTCCTAGACAAGGCTTGATGTAACTCTAGAATTAATCGATACTTCGAGGTCTCAAATTGGCATTCCTTGCACACCGCAAAATTTTGCACACTTTTGCTTGACATGCAGATGTGTTTGGACTATGTACCATCTGTATACAAAGTGTTTCTGTCGACCATGTTCTTAGGATAACTGTGTATCATCTTTGACTTCAACCGTGACATATGTGTATTGTTAAGTGGTATGTTAACATGAATAATGTTTGTTCCTCCTATATTCCTAATTTTTTTATCGTACCTATCCTTGGTGAATTTTTCAATGTATTTTGGCCTATCAATTTTGAAATATTAAATATATTCACAATTTAATTAAAAATTTTCCTAGACGATGAAGGCGTCAGTTGGAACAGTGACCCCGTCCCGGAAAGTGACTCTACACCGCACGTGAACATAGGATCGCACTTTCAATGCAAAATACCCCATTTTACATCTGCTCCCAAAAGAAGTAGTCCGGAACCAAGTTACGAAGATCTGCTCTGGGATCCAGGTATAAGCAGCTGTACCGACAGTGAAGGTAAAATTTTTGCTACAATAAATGAATTTGTAGAAAATGTTATTTTAATTATTATTGATGAAGAGCGATTATCAGAGGTGATCAAATAAAAGATCTGGGTATACACTCTGATTATGTAATGAGTAAATTTGATGACCGATCTTGAAAAAATAGGTTAACTTCACGTCGTTCTCAGACTATTTCAGTAGTTTCCCAAATTAAAAAATGTCTAAGATCACAAATTATCACTTATTGTGTGAGTCCAACTGATTCCAGCAGTTGAAGTCGTTTTACGGCTGAATGTGGTAGACGGTAATTGCGGAATCCAGCTACTGAAGGAAATTAAAAAAATTCTAAGAGAGCTACCATGGTATCAGTGTCACCATTAGAACCATAAGACTTATTGATACCGTAATTTTTGAATATTCCGTTGGAGTCGATTGAAAAATAGACTGCAATGAATTTATGGTAACAATCAGTGTACCATTGTACTTCACGATTATACATGGTAAACCAAGTCAAATTATGGTACGTGTACCATAAAAATGGTACGGCTGGCAACACTGCGTTAGTACGGTTTGTACAATACAATACAATACTTTATTTTTCCTGAGACTTTTTTACAAGCATGGAAATCGTCATATACACAGTAAAGATTGGAGTTGAAAAATATCAAGTGATAAAATATGGAACATACATAAAAAAAATTAAATCAATAGTAGATGTAGGAGATAATTATATAAAACAATTAAAAAAATACATAGTATAAACAGTAGAATATTAACAAGCAAACAATCGTGATGTCAAGCAGCCAGATCAGTTTGAAAATATTCATCAAGTGAATAAAAGGCATTTTTGTAGAGAATATTTTAAACGCTATTTTTGAAATTAATGGGATTTGAAATTTTCTTAATGAATGTTGGAAGTTTATTGAATATTTTTATAGACATAACATGAGGTCCGTTTGATACAGATGTTAATTTGTGTACATGAACTATCAGATTATAATTTTGCCTGAGAGTATAACCAGCAGCTATGCGGATAGTACCCCTTTGCTGAAACTCATGGTAATGATTCTTAATGTAAGTGACACAATTTAAAATATACATGGATATCACAGTTAAAATTTGTAACTCAGTAAATAACTGCTTACAAGAATCACCATATTTTATAAAACACATGGTTCTTAGTTTTTTTTTTTTGAGCAATCAACAGATCATTCAATTTGCTGCTGTTACCGTAGCAGACTAAGCAATAATTTAGACTTGAGTGAACATAGGCATAGTGTTAACTTAATAAAATATTCATAGGGACAGAATTTCTGAGATTCCAAATGACGAAACAATGCTTGGATAATTTTATAGAAATGGAGTCAATATGATCATTCCAGGATAATTGTGAGTCAATGTACTAATATACTGCAGGCCATTTCTCTAAGCGAGAAAACAATTGTATTAGATTTATTGCTATTTAGTATGAGGCCGTTTCTGGCGCTCTAATTAAGCATATTAGCAACTGCAATATCAGCCTGATCAGATAACCCTTCACAAGAAGAAGAACTCAATAAGAAGGACGTATCATCAGCAAATTGTACAGTACAATGTTGTTGATTAATATTAGAGATGTCGTTGATGAATTAGAGAAAGAGAGTAGAACCCAGGACACTACCTTGGGGAACACCTATTAATATGTTACTATTTTCAGAATGATATATTCCAGATTTGGGGGTGAGTACTACAACTAGGCAACTACAACAAAATTCGTAAAATTTGGATAACCGCAAAGAAAAATTCCATTAGGTTAGTTGGACAACATATTACAACTTGGTGACTGTTGCAGACAGTTTACAGATGCTACTTAGAATTTTCAAAACTAGACAAGGGTATCATGAGAGAAAAAATATATTCTATAACTAGGCGAATCCACATATCTAGTTGTTCAACATATCGGTTTGTTTGTTTTTATTTTTTGTGAAATGAAACAGTTTTTGCAGTGCATTATTATTAATTTATTAATATATCGCAAATAAACAATTTATTTACAAGCCTGATTTCCTAAATTGAATATAAAACAACACTGAATTATACAGAAGATACTTTTCTCTACTCAGTTTGTATTTCAAACATTCGTTGTGGAATAAAAATCAGATATCATTCACATGAGTTCTACTTTAAATGAATGGAAATAAATTGCACTCACATGGAACACTGTCACCCTCACTGGTATACACCGATGTTTCACCTTTAGACACTTGCCAAAAATATTTAATAATAGCCAAAAACTTTCTTTTCCAAAAAATTAATCACTCACAAAAATATAACCCCTTCAATTCAAATAGGATGAATATTTTTCACTTCTTCAATGCATATAGGCTTGAACAATGGTATATTGTTCTATCTAATTTTAGACCAGAAGTATCAATACCCATCGGATATAATGACTAGTGAAGTTTATACTAAAAACCATACCTTTGAATTGAGTTCTAAAGTTCTAATATTCTTTTTTCCACTATAATATTTTTTATGGATGCAATAGCAAGTTATCGAATTGTGGAAGACTTGGGATGAATGAAAAATTTGACATCTGACATATGAAAGATATTGCAGTCTAATCATTTCAAATCATACTTTGACCTTTTCAAAATTTATTTTCTCAATTTGAGATTGCATTTGATTGGTCCTAGTGAGTCACCATTTCCCTCATTGAGTATTTCAAACTTCATTCCACCCGACTTTAAACAATTTCTACTATTATATCCATTAGGTATAACATAAAAAATGCTATTTTTGACTATAAAAAATGTATCTTTCAACAGGACGCAATGTTGCGACTTATGCAACCCTCGCCCAACCTTCCGACTGATCATCCTCTCTTAGCCTACCAGTATTGCGAAAGTGACAAATGGTCGTCTTCGGAAACTGAACAGTTTCACAAATCTCTGCTCAAATATGATAAGGATTTTCGCAGTATTGCTCAAGAGGTAAGTATCTAATACAAAGCTTACATTGAAGATCGTAACTAACAAATGTTGAAAAGTATTCAATTAATGACACATAAAAACAATGAAGAAAAAATATATTTCGGACATTCACATATTACAATAATATTTATATTATTTGAAGATAAGTTCTGATACATTTTTGAGGAATTTTTTAATGAGTAACACTTTGAATCTACTTCGAGCCTAGTTGTGCTCATCAATGCTCTACTTGGGGTTTTGATGAGCACACCTGTGATTTCGAGACAGTTCTGGAATTGCTTTAAAGAGCTGTGAGAACTGTTGCACTAAAATTGATTGACCTGTGGAAATCACAGGCAACGAAAAATCTGATGAGTGAGTCTGGTTCATGGAACCAGATCACGAAATAAGTTAATGAGAAACGAATAATGCTGATAATTTCGATATCTCAAACGTCATTCGTGGTGAACGTTGTGAAGCTGCTTGAAATCATCTGGAACGTATACTTTGTAAAGAATTGTGCCCGAATCTTGTCGGTTTTTTCGTCAAATCGAGTCAAGTGGGAGCCGCCAGTACCCAGTCTGTTTCATTTACTTCCCAAATTATTGATGATACCTACTCGTTACAATTGAAACATTAGTGCCGTCCTCATACACCTAGCCTCCTAATCTCAGGGTACAAATTTTTATTTGAAGGGTTCGTGCGTGGTTGGTGATCAAACAACAGTGTTGGCTCACTTTATTTCTATTTCTCATCATTAACAATGTGAAAACAAAAGGTTTTAACCATAAATAAACCCCATTCGTGTAAATTCCTAATCCTAATCTTAGCTAAAATTAGGAGTAAATACTAGTAAAGATCCTACCTGGGACCGCTTCTCGCTGAAATGTTTGAATCTGTCAATTATATGTAGATTCTTCACTATCCACACACATTTCATCGGTAGGTACCAACCAGAGAACACCTATATACAGGGTATATCTTGACGAGTTAACGCGATCTATATATAGAAAACTGAAAGTAGGACGATTCTGAAAATTGATAGGATGTTTGAAGAACTAATGGAGAATTCAACTGAAATATTTTCGTTGAGGTGACGTTTCGGGTTTCACCGGAAGTGACGTCATCTTTGTTATTTTTAATAGCACACCCTGTATTTCACCTCATTTTTCAATTCTTCCTATGATTTAGATTCTAACTCATGTATTATACCCTATACCCAAAATGAACCGTTTTCGAGTTATTCGAGTTTTTTTAGAAAAAGTGACAGATACAGCCTCTCGAACATCATTTTCATGTAAATTAACATTTTAAAAATATGCAGCTAGTGAATCGTGATAAATGAAGGTTGAACGGATCACGCATCATTTTCACGTCCACTGAATAATTAATCCACAGGGTGCGCAAAAATTAGGGTCCAATAAGTGAATGGAAAAAGTTAAAAATCTCAATTATTTCAAATGGAAACCACCATTTTTTTCCTCAGGGTTCAATTCTATTATGAAAATAAACCCTAGATATGATACACTTCCCATTACCCGAAATTTATAGTTTTGGAGATATTCCATTATATTTACATACTTTCCTGAAATGTTGATATTTCTAGTAGGCTGCTGTCCATCTTTCAACACAATGTTTGGTGACAAATGAAATAAAGTTGTTTATTGTCAGATTCGTGCTCTCAGAAGGTACAATA